CTTGTATTTTGGTCAGTACGACAGTCAAATAACCAAGACAACTTTGTACCAGCTAGCATATCCAACAAGGTATATATTTAAAGACAGTGGGATAATTGTGTTAGGAAATTCTAACAGCAAAGTTTTAATCAATGTATTAGATCACATCGACTGGGCCCCAGAATCAGGATTTTCTTTTTCTTTTTTATTAAGATGAGTTTTACACATAGCTGCTAACTAGCAGCTAGCTGCTAACTAGTTCACTAGTTCATTCACTAATGAACAAGTGAAGACTTCATCATTTCAGTGTAACACAAACTTGGTTAAAATTCAGAGATCTTTTTAAAATCTTTCCAGTTGGAAAGCATAAACCATTGTGAATTAATCTGATGCAGAGTGACAACAGTTGCACTGCAAAGACAACAACAAGACAGCCCCAAAAGTGGAATGGTTTTGCAGGTGGTGGTCACAGACATGACTGATTCTTCCTCTGGTTTGTTTCTTATCTTTCTCTTCATGAGCGGAGGTTCACACTGAGCACATGTCACAGGCATGAAAGAGTCTGGAGATGTGGTGGCAAACGTTGCAATGCCTACACTATCATCTGCAAAAGCAACTGCGACCAGTGGTGGACCTGCAAGCTTTAAGGTTATCTAGCATGCCAATCGAGCTGCATGAGCACAGGTCCCGTTAAAGGATGCTGGCTCCTCATACCACCTTCAATGAGTCTGATTTTGACAGTTTGGTCAGAAACATGCACATGAGTAGCCTACTAGAAATCACATTGTAGGGCCTGACAGTGCTCCTTCTGTTCCTTCTTGTTATTTCTATTTCATTTAGCTTTAAAAGGCCAGCAAGTAGTGTATGTGCCACACACTGTGGCTTTTTGATTTTCTTGTATCCGTCTGTAGACTGCATTAAATCAAAATAATAAAATAAATATTTAAAAAATTAAGTATTTTATCAACTTACTGCTAAATGCTATTCTGTGTAAGAGAGTTCCATGATCATGTTGCCAATATTGTAAAATTAAGATTATTTAGCAAAGACACATTAATCTGCAAATATCCATGTACCAACACACCCCATTTTACAGCACAGAGTCTCACAGACCACCACCTGTGTCCTGTAGACTTTCTTTCCTTTTTTGTGTGCTGCAGGCTGAGGGATTACTCTAAGTAATGCTGTGGAGTGGCTCATTAGTCACTGGATAGAGCCCTTCACCTCAGGAGAAAAGAAGAATTGTGCAGACACACACATACAGTACTGTAGACACCCACATTTACCCCATGCGGACTGTTCAAGTAAAAACAAATAACTGCGGCTGATATGTGGTTTCTGGATGTAGGGAACAACCAACAAAGAGCAAGTGTCTAAAAATATGCTAGTATATTATTTAGAGTGATAACTCAGCCTGCAACACCAAAACTCAACATCTGCTTTATGTTACATTCAGTTCAAGTGATGTTATCAATGAAGCAAACCTCACATGGACATCCAAAAAAACTGTGGGACCCCACACAATCGCAGGGCACTTGTGTGGGCAGTAGGTATACTAAAGAGGGAGTTTGATGTGTGAGCATGCATCAGTGTCTTTCTTCAGTGTTTATTTAGTTTATCTTTTGTAGCACAAGTTTAGCTGTATCAATAATTGAGCCTTTAATTACAGTGTACTTAGGCATTCAGGGAAACAGATAACAAGCTGAAGATGTAGGAGGGAGAGATGTGTTGTGAATAAACTCATCTCTCCAAGATGTGTTGACTCAAGCCAAGAGAGTCTCACACAGTTTCGCCGAGTGGTCAACCGTATTTGACATCAAGATTTTCATTATGATACCACCCTAAGCAGAATTATTTACTCTAATGACCCTTTCACAGCTTCATACTGTTTTTTATGAAGGTGTGATAGCCATTTATTCAGTGTAAGTTGCAAGAATTTTCTTGGTTGAGATAAACCCATTATATTGGAAATCTGTTTAAGCATATGGACTATGCTCTCTGTATTATAATAATAATAATAAAAGTAACAAGAATAAAAATAAGATGGAAATCAACAGTAAGTGGTCTGAATTTAAAGATACAAATATGCATTCATTAGAATTTATTATAAATTTATAGAGGAGTTTTCGGTACTTTGGCCCTTTGGCTCATGCGTGTGTAGGTGGCTACATTTCAGTGCCCAAGCTCTATCAAACAACTGTCTGCCAATATCCCCTATTGAGTTTTTTATGTAGCAAATGATGTATAGTGGGTGGATCAGTGAGTGGGCAGGTGGACAGTCCAAACGGTGAATGTTTCCATGTTTAAATGTGTGAGTGTTCCCCACTGGGCTTCGAGCCACAGTATCCATTGTAAAACCTTTGATAAAGTGATCTCTCCTAGCAGTGTGCAGCCAAGTACATATTAATAATGCATGCTACATTCTGCCTCACACTTATTTATGAAAGCATGAATAGGCACACATAAATGGACACTTATTTCACACATCTGTGGCTAGGTAAGCTGCTGCCTTTGGAAGGTCATCCATCACGCGGCGTTAGATATCAGATAAAGAGAGACAGACAAGACACAAGAAAGAGAAAGACGAAAGCCAACGGGAGGATGAAAGTTTGAAAGCACTTGTCAAGTAAGTGAAAATGGCTTGAGTGCCTTGGGCAATCTCCAATTATATTGACATTGCGAGTCACTTCCAACCTCATATCAAAAGCACTGAGCGAAAAAGGAAGTCCCAGTTGCAATGAAGATTCGCTTCCTGCATTTTGCCTAATAAAGTTCAGAGCAAAAAGCCCTCCTTTGACTTAGAAGATTGGTCAGCAAAAATCTCAAAGCACTACTGAAATCTAGTGGGACAGTTTGCTTCCTGTATACTATCTTCTGGTTTGAGTTTGCTGGTGTTTATTTTCACTCCTACTGTATGCGGTCTGCAAGTATTAGAAAGACTATACCCAAAAGGGAAACCAATCGCACTATTCACTAAAAGCCTTCTTTATTTCCTCAGCTGCTCTCACTATGATCCTTTGCTCACTGTCTATCTGTCCATCAATCCACATAGCCATTATTTTCATGTTGACCTGCCTCTCTTTCCCAGCATGCATTTATCATTTATCTTCTCATCTATACATCTCATGACAGAGAATCCAATATCAGTGTGCCTTGAGGTTACTCATAAAAGAAGATGAGGCATAATAAAGAGTGAGACGTGATCGATGTGTGGAGGTTGGATCAACTGTCAACATAAAGTTGACGTCCCACCCACCGCCTACCCTTATGAACTTTTGACATAGAAAAGACACCGTAACATTGCCCAGTATTGCAGCCATTTCTCTCTTCTACTGCTTTTCCATGCAGTAGAGCCAATACTCTCTTTGCTGCTGATGCATCTCGTGGCACCAGCACTCGGTAAATTGATGAAAACATGACTACCTTTACTTAACAAACAAAAGACAGACACTTGGCAGGACACATGTTTATGGACATTCATAAACACTCCCTTTCCATTACTAATTAGACAACAACTGCAAGGCCTTAAAAAGGCAATGTAAGGCAATTTGCTATTCAGACTCCTAGTGGAGATGAAAATCTCTACCCTAAAAATATATTTTAAAAAAAAAGAAAGAAAGAAATTGGGGGGAAGAACATCCCAAGGGTCGAGGCTCTCATTATCACATTCAGTCCAAAAGAAGAAAGATCTCAGTCCCTGCTTTCTACTCTTTTAAGTATATGCTTCACCCGTTCCTTTAGCATACAGCATCTATCCTCTACTATGGAGCCAAATTAGATTTATAAATCGTAACACACACATACCTTTATAACAGAAACATTAGTTGGCTATAAAACGTCCATCAAAAGTAATACGCACTCCTCGGGTTTAGACTGTGACAACATACAGACCTCCTAAAGGTTGTTCTGAACAACTCTTGGGTAGTTGTGTACTTTAAAACGACTAGGAGATCCTGTTACTAAACCACTCTAAAATGTTTTGAATGATACTCTATTTAAAGGCTTTGGACTTCAACCAAAGAAAAAACAACCACATTTGGAAAACTAAGCCAGAAAAATATGCAAACAAACAGATAATGCGCAGATGGTGGTGTTAATGCAGAATTATGTGTTACGTTTTGGGCAATAACTTGTGAATTACTCAACTTAACTATTCATGCTTCACACAATAATGCTGTTACAGTTATATGTTGTGCCCTACTTAAGGAAAAGCAATCATTCAGTTTGGCATAAATATATAGTTTCTCCCCATTTACAACTGCTGTGCTGGTAGGTGTGATTGTTGGATATTCAACTAAACTTCATTTTACTGTATGTGGATGTAGATCAATGTATGTGAATATTTAAATCTCCAGTCAGATGCATACAGCATATGCATCAATATTAGAGTTCCACATAATTCAGCTACTTTTATTACATTTGCATGCTATATAGAGACTGAATTTTCTTTAACTTTTTTGTTTCCTTTAATAACACATAATCATGACTTTGCAAGTTTGTCTGTGACAGATGCAGCTCAGAAGACAGAAGGCTTTTGTATCTAATTGCTTTTAGTTTTGTGACTGTCACAAAGTCTACACATAGCACAGGGTGTCGTGCTTGTTCAACACAAATCAAACATAAAAGCAACTTAATTTTTTATCATCTTTTTCAAATTGCTTTTATCTGTGTTGGCAGTTTTCATCCCTGGTCTGAAATGAATTAAATGTACCCAAAGTGAATTCCTGATGCGATTTTCACTTGAATGACAAATCGGTTCATCTGCTGTTATTTGTATTACTTTTACAATGACTAAATACCACAAATATCCCTGTGTCACCAAAACCTAATGCGCTCCAGTTTATCTTTAGGTTTTTACAATCACACTCTGATTATTTAATATCCATGGTGGAGTCTTAGAGAAGAACAGATGGAAAACTGGTCGCTGTCATGGCACTTGAAGAGTTTGTCCTGCGCAGCATCAAAAGCTACAAACAAACTGCAAACTGACAGTTGGTTCCTTTGAGAGGAGTGAATTTTACCTCCAATGCAGCAGACCTCTTGTGTAGCAGCTGCTCTATGTTCCTGGCTGCTCTGGCCACTAGCTCCTCCGCGTCGTTTTGCTCCACAGTGTAGAGGTGCTGGTTGCTCAGAAAAATCTACATGGAGAAAGACAAATGTAATTGCCGTTTTAATACAAAAAAGACTTTTTGTACACACATTCGTTTGTTTAAATTATTGTTAAAACTAAATGTAATTTTCACAGAAAATTAAGAGTTTAAACATTTAGGGGAAAATATACAAGGGGTTGACTTAAATTTTAAGAAAGGAATAGGATTATCGTCTGATTTTATGCATGTCTGTGTATATTCTGGTGTTTATACCTGAGTGAGGCTCTTCCCAGCTGCGGCTGTGTCTGCCAGGGTAACAAGCTCTTTCTGCATCTGATCAACCCATTCTTTAATCCTATGGGACAAAGAAATGCACACAACCAATCCTGTAGCTCAGATATAACCAGTTTAGAAGAGACGTTGCATGCATTTCAGTTAAACTGTCTTTCAATCTACTTTATATCAATCATCTAAAAAGACCAACCAAGTCACTTGACGCAAAAACAAACAAGGTCAAAGAGAATCACTCTTGTGGGTCGGGCAAAATGTCAACCAATCAAACCCAGATCACCAGAAACAAACACAATGTCATCTAATAAAGCTTGTGTCACTGCATGTCAACTAATACAATTGCTTTCAGAGAGTTCAAACATGAAGTCAACCAATCAGATAAGTGCCAGCTATTGTTGTGACTAGTGACAGTGATGTGAGTGGACAGGTAGGAGGTGGGCGGTAGCTAAGACCAACATGCGTTTCTATACCTCAAAGAGCTTTAATCATTTCCAGCCTGCTGGTGCCATTGATGTACGAATAATAGCAACCAAACAACAGACTCAATGCTGGTACCCATTCGCTTGAGTGAAAATTGCTCACCTGATGCTTGCCTTTTATTTTTATTTTAATTTTTTTTCTGTGTCATCGTGGTACATCAGTCACTGTGCCACGCACTGGTTTATACCTTAGTCTCATCCTCCTCCATTACTCACTATGTACCACTTGAACAAAGTGGCCATGGATGATCATTGGGAAGAGTAGAACCTAAGACATTATGCACGATATGAGACAGTGGCTTGTTAGGATAATCACATGTTGTCACTCTACACATGTTGTCAGGTGATGTGAAGTTGTAATGAATGAATGAATTTGCTGATAGTAAATTATCCTTAATACTGTTCAGAATATCATCAGGTATATTGAAAATGAGTAGGTGTAAGTGTAACCCAGATATTAAATAAGAAAATGTAACCTATGCATTGATTCTAATAACAGACCTCACTGAGAACCTCTACAGAGTCTGACCTTGGTATGTGTGGGTGTGTGTGTGTATGTGTGTGTCGTGCAGGGTAAGGGTGAAAGTGACACACAGGAGGCACCAGTCTATGAATGTCTGACTTTTTTGATAAAAAACTATGATTTAATAAAAAGAAGTTGTATTAAAAAAATGATTGACAAACACAGTTTTTAAAAGAAAGTAAAAGAAAGTATTCCTCGGTATTTGAATTAAAAAGGGATTATGTTACAACGAATGTGAGAATCTGCTACAGACAAATCTAACTGAAGTAGAATTACATAAACTGAATGAAACATGAAGTGAATTATATCAATATGTGACTGAATGTTTAAATGTGATGGGGTTTCTGTGTTAACAATGACAAAGGAAATGTAATGAAGTGATTTTAAACTTTAAACTTTGCGTTAAATCACGTAAGTCAGATAGATAGACAGGGATAGATAAGATGTGGGTGGACATCAGGTGATTAGATGTTAATGCTGGGCCCACGTCCTCATTTTAAGTTTGACAGCGTTTTAGTAGGTAAAGGTGAAAGCTTAGACATGAATTGAGCTGTGGTGTGGGGAAGGCCTCGAAGGAGACTGGCGACAGCTCCCGGGCCTGGCAGATCCCCACGTAGTAAATAGGAGCGAAGAAGTTAAAGAATTGAGAACGACGAGGGAGGGAGGGTGGGGCACGTAAACGAGAATGAACAGCTTGCAGAACTGTGGGAACCTATGTAGATGACAACCGGAAGGAGTGTGTTTGGAGGCGTAGTCCTGCTCCTGAAATTCCGATACATAATCTCCAATAATGTGACTGGATGTCCCCAGTTAGAGGTCGTCTCAGAAGATGTGACATCCAGTAAGAGAGGGGAGGAAGGGTGAACGTGAAAAGTTAAGTGAAGAACAGATACAGGGTTCTTCCCCTTTGTCTTCTGTGAGATGAGCAGCTCAGAAGATTGGATCTGAGATGTTCACAGTTGGAAATTACAGCGGAGACGCTAGAGGGACTGACCCAGCCCGACCTGTGGACCTGCAAAATGGTTGTATATTTTTGGCTTTCCTCTCTGCTCATTGTGTGTGTGTGTGTGTGTGTGTGTGTGTACAACATACTTCCACTAAATTCCCAAGGGATACTCATTTCCTGTTGGGTGATTATCATCAACTCGCAACACGGGGATAAGTGCATCGTTAGGCCTGGTTGTGCTCACCCTTTCTTCAACCTCTCCTCACGGAAGATAAGAACAAAATCAGCATTAGCTCAGGAGTCAGTTAATAAGATAATTATAGTTCAGGTGATTTGATTGTTGTTTTGTGATTATTACTATTTGATTTTGCTTTGCTCCTGCTAAATTGCTTTAATAACATTTCCTGCAATTAGTCTAAATTGTAGACATTCACTTTTTAACCTTTTGTGAAACAGTATTGGTAAAAATCTGAGTATCGTTCTTTACTAGTCCAAATAACTCTTACAGGTTACTCTAGTCATTTGAATACAACACTCCCTTAGGGCCTATTGTCTTGGCTTTTGAAATCAACCCAGTTATTAACAAGTGCCCAACTAAGAGGGAAGCTGCCGTTTAGTAATGAGTGGTGGTGATAAGGCCGATCCTGCAAGGCTACTCGGGCATTTTTCTTATCAGATGACGACAGTGGAGGACATGATGATTATTACAAGGCAGTCAGAGGGGTGAGTCCCCTCACATATATCGGCTCCAGCTGAACTCTGCATTACTTACTGGGTAAGAGACTTATAGGATAAGAGTTTAGGACTTTTTAATCAGAGAGCTGAAACAGATTTCCCATATAGGGGTCATGGACCCTGCAGATCAATCATGTAGAAACTTTTTTTTGCCATGTATACTGTATGAGAATGATGACAAGTTTATATAGCATAGAGAGATTCTCATTAACATCCATTTCACAACTCGGCTGCCTTGAAGCAACATGCACACACACACAGACACACACACACACACACACAGGAAGAAACATTGAATATCAGATATTCATACTCAGAAAATACTTTCAAAAACTGTCATTGCAGCAGAGTGTTGAAAGTCATTCAATTTACTACGTGAAAAACATCGACCGTGACATTTAGTACAGCTGAGGGGGTTGGCAAGACAGAAAGGTTCAGAAGATCAAAAAGCAAGGAAAAAATGCATCAGGGATACAAAATCCACAGTGAATGAGGAACATTCAAAGCAAGCACACTTGTGGAGAAAGATGAGACACTTTGCAAGATAGGGAATACCACAGGGAATAGTGAATGTGAAATACAGTAGTTTAGGGAAAGCTTTACTAGTGTAAGTCAGGAGATTTTAATCTTTGCTTCTCAATCTCCAACTTGAAAAAAGTATAGCTTCTTAAACTCCATAGTGATTTGAGGAAAGTTGAACTCTGCAAATATTATTACCCATCACATGTAGGCTGCTTATTTCCACTGAACCTATGGCCTATTGCCTAATACAGATTATAAGTGTTATGCTGATGGGCCTGTTACCCATATTTTGTGTTGATCTATTGCTGTCATAAGTTGTTAATTGTTTCATAATAATCATTGTCAACTTGACAACCTTACCAAGAGAATAATATTTTTCTCTGCCTTGTAAATTTAGCAGTATAGGCCAGGGTTTGCATGACTTTAAGTATTTTGTGACCCTTTTTAATATCCTGTTGTTCGCTGGGTATAACAAAACTGTACTGTTTACACACTGTGTGTGTTTATGTGGACCTTAGCTCTTGAAGCCTGAAGCACAGACAAGTCAACTGTGATTTAGAGTGTATGTGTGCTTCCTGGAATTTGGCATTCAGAAAGGCAGAGGCACTTTCACCTGACTTCCTGAGTTTAGCTTCTGTGGAATCTTATCAGTGTAAATTTCTGGTTGTAATAGTTGAGATAAGCAGGGTATGTGTGCATGTGCTCTTCTTCAAGTACAATATGGGTGCGTGGAAATTTTTTGTTACTCACTTTGTTTGGAAATCTATATGAAAAGCTCATTTGTTTTATGTATACACAGAAACCAAGCACTGCAACATGCAAGGGAATTGGTCTTAGTAGTACAGACCTCACTAGACTCCTGTAGTATAGAACAATGCTACACCCCAAAGCCATATCTGTCAGTTTATATGCATATTTGAAATCAAATATTCTTTTTAATTAGGATTTACTACAAATCAATACGAAGTTGTTCAGATTGATCACCCTTTCCCTATGATAAAGTATATCTATCCTGACTGAAGTAATCTTGTCTTAGATGACAATGCACTAGCCTTGGGGCACAAGGTGTCACTGAATGCTATGAAATTGGTGTAAATCATATTTTATTACCTTTTCTGCTTCAACCCAGTCTCACAAATGGGAAGTTTTGAATTGATGTTTTCAACAGCATTCTCCATCACCATCATTAAATGAGGGTACGTCTTTTGAAATAATGGTGTTGCATCCATCCAGTAGACTTTCAGACACTTGTAGAATCAGTGCAGAGTCACAGTGAAGCTGTAGTGGTTGAACATGGTGTCCTTGCACCTTACTAATAAATATATATATATTTCTTTCTCATATTCACCATCCATCTTGTTTAATTTGATCTATTCTATTTCTAGACTAAAAAGGCAAAGTACTGTGATCTGTGTCATTTTATCATCTTTCACAGCGCTAGCACTCTAGCACTCATCATAAGGTGGGCTGTTATCAATGGCTAAATCAAAGAGGTGATCCAGAGTTGTCTGTAATAAACATTAATAAAGTCGATGTTGTTAAGCTGAGGTAGCAACATTTTTCTACTCTGGTTTCTGGGCTTTGATTATTGTAGCCTGTGGTAAAATGCTGGATAATTAAACACACACACGCAGACACAAATGCATATACCAATGGCAACTGGGTCAGGCACTGCCCTACATTGTTTTACAGACACAAGAAGAGCAAATGAGAGCAAAAAAAACCAGATAGAGAGGAAGAGAAACAAGGCAGGAAAGAGAGAGACAGATGTTGTGGTACAATCACTTTGGAACTAGAGAGAGTAATGAGCTGGCCCATGATGTGTATCTCGGTAGGCGGCTGTATTAAACCACAGTCTAATTACGCATCATTATAGAGGCAAAGAGACTGAAGCAGGTCCAGTCCAGACAGAAAAGCAGAATGAGGCATGGAAACACCAGCTGCACCAAAACAACCTGCAGTGCCTGCCCTCACTCTGAAGCCTCTGACACCCAGGTGGCCAATTCAGTTCCTGTTCAACATGACCTAGATAATAAACGTTGCTTTAATGTGAAGTTAAGGGTTTGAACATCAAAATGACTTGACCACCTCATGACCTTTAATCTGTTTTTTTTGGGGGGGGGAGGTTGTTGTTTTTTTCTACAACCGTGGGACAAACAGTAGAACTGTGATATATTCCTACCACAGCCAACATGGGTTCACAGTAATAGATTCAAAAACTCCCATGCGATGTCTTTAAAGTAAGCTTTTGCCCCACTTTTATTTTCTGTTAACTTTAAATAGTTGCTGAAGAGAACTAAGGTAATGTAAGATGTTTTGTCTCCAGAGTTGCTACTTTAACAACAGAGCTATTTAGGATTGTCAAGAGACAGAAGAGCAGGTGTTTACAGTTTGCCAGAACAGCTTATCCATAATGAAAATGTTTTCTCTCCATCCATTTGATCGGTGTAATCCAGGAGGATGCATTTAATAAAACAGAGTGTAAAATACAGTTAATTTTAATATCTCTTTTGCTCACGATGCCTATGTTCAATAATTCTATTATATCTCGTTAGCTTGCACAATATAACAATTTTTTTTTTAAAAAGGAAGAAAGAAACTTCTTTAGTTTCTCTTCTTTCTGGAACTATTTTCATTCATCAGTTATTTCTCACAAATATCCTCGTTGGTATTGTGCCGTGCAGAAAAGCATGCAAGGACAGTCATGTTTTTACTGATCACGTTCATGCTTACTGTTTGTTAGTTCATTTGGCAAGAAAGAAGTATGAAGAACAAGGACTATCTGGTTGACAATTTGTGCTCTTCATTCAAAAATGAATCCCCATAGCATCCTCCACTTCTAAGCAAAATGTTTTTCAAGTATACAAAAAAAGAGGAAGGGACATTAAGATACAAAGGTGGTGACACTGAATTATTTAATATAGTTTAATACAGATGGAGAATCTATTTGTGGTGGGGAGGGAGAGAAACAAACAAATAAATAAATAAATCATATGCCATCTCCACTCAGTCTCCAGCCATCCACCATCTCCAACAGCAGTTCTTCACCTGCTGTTGATTGTGGTTAGAGTGGCCCTCGAGCTCTCAGTACATCTGAGCCAAAGGAGGACTGCTGCTGTTCAAGAAGGTGGAGCTGGAGTCTCATCCTCTTTTCTATTGACAGGATGAGCTCTTCTCTGCAGATGAAGAACAAGCTTGTCACAGAGAAGAAGCTGAATGAAACTGAGGATCGCTACAATTGAAACCTGGCCAGTTTGCCAGCAGGTCTAAAGAACACAAGACAGAAAGAGTATGGGTTAGCAGTAAATGAAGTTTACAAATAAGAGCGAGGAGATTATCCACAAGCAAATCAAATGCAGAAAAAATGGGGTTTTTTTTAAACTACACAAAAAAAGTGTAGAACATTTCAGTAAGTCTGTTTCAAATAAAATGGCTTCTGGATTTCCTGAGCGCTTGTTGTGGGCACACTGATCAGTCTTCCAAAGTAAACAGTGCAGCATTACTATAATCTAAACAGACCAGAGCAGTTTAGGCCAGTGAACATTTCAGCAACAGTTTCATCTTTTCTGATACTGTTTACATTTTGATAAAGAAGAAATGTTTCCTTTCCATCTATGAGTCAGAATCTTGTCTTGTGGTTGTGGATAAGCGTATGATTATTATTAGTTCAGTATTATATGCTCTGGCAGCAATGCAATACTGAATTTGAACAGCTTTTGAAAAAAGACTTGGAATTATTGAGATATACTTTTTTCCTCCATATTTGGCTATTTTATTACTAGGGTAAACTGGTTTAAGAGCCCCCATCCCCCCACCTCTCTACACCCCCACCACCGGAAATTTCCTTTCTGACAAGTATTTTGACTCATTCACGTTTTATCTTTCCTTAGAAGATGGTGGCCTGGTCATGCTTGAATAGCGCAAATATATTTAATATAACAAAACAAATATATAACAAAAATATTTTTTTTAAAACGAAAAGAAAAAAAATTGTTTTGAGACGATGTAGTAGGTTACCCTGGGGGCTATATAGTTTAATATCAAACAACAATATTTTTTGCAGTAAGCGAAAGTTTGCATTTTTAAGATATGAAGGAAAATTAATGTCTCTCAGAGGCCTTCCCCTCTTGTGAGAAAAGCACCTTTTACAAGATTTTACATAAATTTATAATAAGTTATCAATTACAGTTTAAATATCCTGTAAGTGATACGTAAGCATATTTGTTTTTACATATTATGTTGATAATCCAAAAAATATTCTAAAAGAAAATAGGGGCGTTTTACTCCAGTTTACAATATGAGGAACAAACCTGGTTCTTGGCCAATGAGGGTCCCCAGAAAAACGCCAACTTTTATCATTTATTATTGGCTAAAGCAGCAGGACCGAGCAAAGCCACTCTCCTCTAGGCTACAACTTCATAGAAGAGCTGTCACGGCTCGCCAAGCCACCGGTGACAAACTGCTGATTACGGTAACCAACATTAATCAGCGTAACAACGCGAGCAGGCAGAGGTCTGAAAAAAGCTGTCTTTATCAAAATGACCACCGCATGAATGAAATGACCTGCCCACCCTACTCTCACACCCACGCACACCGTGAAGCCTATACACCCGTGAGTGTTTCATTAGAGAGAGAGAGAGAGAGAGAATTAAAAAAAAGAGAAAGCAAAAAAGCTCCCTGAAACAAGGTCCCTGCAAACCAGAACATCAATTGATCGAAACAGGATTACAAGAGCTGTAGCCTACTTACATGAGCTGTGTCGGAAACTGCGAAGCCCAACAACCGTCCTGCCACAGCAGGAACAGAAACACCCAGGCTCGTACCCCGCAGGAATCCATTGTTAAAAAAAAAAAAAAGAGGGTGAAAAAAAGAGGGGAAATTCCCCGATGGACGTCAATATAGAATCTGCTCCACTCCCCTCTACCGCCGCTGAATGAAACGACGGGCGAAAGCAGCGCGTGTAGCTGCCTGTCGCTCCCTCACAGATTAACGAACACTGACACCTCTAATCTGATCACTCGGCCATCCAGCGCTCTAACAGGTACTGGAGCTGAATGCGATGCCAGACTCTCTCTCTCTCTCTCTCTGTCTCTCTATCGCTATCTCTCTCTATCGCTATCTCTCTCACTCTCTCTCTCACATACTCTCTCTCTCTTTCTCGCTGTTCCCGCTCTTTTCGTCTGTCCCTTAATTAACCGGATGCAATTACGACAAACAGTAGTTGTGAAGGCAATAAAAAGAAAAGGTATAATTATGGTGTCACAAATGATTACTAAAAAGCATAACTTTAACTGCTGCTTTTAATCATTAGTCATCGTTAATCTCTGGCTCTCTTTCACAGTGTGTTTTTGTCCTGTCTCTCTTTCTCCCCTTTAACAGGTTTCTTCCTGTTAAAAGGGAGTTTTTCCTTACCACTGTTGCCAAGTGCTTGCTCAGTTTGACTGTTTTTCTGTATTATTGTATTAGGGTCTCTGGCTTACACAATAAAGCACTATATAGATAAAGTGAATTGAATTGAGTTGAACTGAAATGAATAACTTTTGTGGTCTTTTGAAATAAATTTTGATAACTTTTTTTTTCTTCAAACAGGCACCATGTGTGCTTGCTCTCAGGTGGGCAGCTTAAGTGGCAAATATGTAATTTTTCTGTTCTTTTTATAACATCAGTTAGAAAAACAAAACAATGGAAGGGACTAACTGGCATACCACCCACACAACATATGCAGTCAAATATATACAGGTTCAGGGCTTTCTCTTTAAAATACTTCAAAACCTCTCATCATTGCCTACAATGTGGAGATAGGGGAGAATTTACTGCCTTTGACTGCACAATCTTTACCAGTTATGCTAGACAGCAAGCAGACTAACTGTCCCACATGAGAATGAATGAGAATACTAGGCTGGCAGCTGCATTGATTTCACACATATAGTGCACGAGTGAAATTACCAGCAAAGTACAGTATTAGAGCCCAATAAATCTCAGTACCATCCATCATGTTTTATAAAATTGCATTTCTAAAGATGTGCTGCACATCGCATCGAATTTTAAAAGTTGCAATATAAATTCAAAGTCTGGCACAACTGCAGTAATGTTTTTGTTGATATTTTAAGTTATTAGTATCATCACCCTGTGAATAATTGAATAATTAAAGCAAAACCATTAAACCTAATCTATCAAAGTGCCTGTGTGTGCTTGTGCACGTGTCTGTTTGTACGTGTGTGTGTGTGTGTGTGTGTGTGTGTGTGTAATTCAAGCCTGGAGGGAGGGCAGGGCGGCACAAGCACGGTGCTTGGGGATTTGGTTATCAATTGTTGCTTGGCAACCACACACCATCTCTCTTGTCCTCTCACCCTCCCCTCCTCCCATTTTCCCCTTTCTCTCTTTGTTTCTCCCTCCCCACCTATCCATTGCTCTTACTGTACTACACTGTTGCGCTGACCCTTCAGTTTTTCCACTGTTCTCATCCTTCACACCTTGTGACATCACCTTTCCCAAATTCTCCCCCTACACCTTTTTCCACCCTCATTTCTCCTAAGAGAGGAAAAGAAGCAGATGCGCCTGATGATGGGATAGGGACGAATAGTGAGAACTGGACAGGAGAAAAGAGCAGCGCAGAGAGCGAGAAGGAGATGGAGAGATGGTGGCCTCTTCTGCAGAAAATCCCATTCAGTACTTCAAGGATTTCACAGTGCACCCTGAAAAGGAGTCACTGCTACATACCTTCTCATATAGTCTAAGAAATGATCATTGGAAAAAGACCAGAATAAAATCTTCTGGCATCAGTCAGACAGGCCGTAGAAGTCAGTTTTTCTCTATCCGTGTACTAATGTGCTGTATTCCATATAATGTAGTTAGATGATTAGATTGATTAACATATATTCCGTAACAGGAATACATACAATAAATAATTTGCCTTAAAATGTATTTTTGTATGGGTTTTTTCTTACTCCATATGAGGAATTTACTGAAAATATCTGCACAGAGTACAGAATATTTATTTTGAATATTAACCTCAAAGTTAATACTGACATCCAAGAGCAACCTGGAGATTTATATTATGAGTATAAGTGAATAATGTGTTGAACCATAATTGGTTAAAGAGCAGCTGTATTGGGTTTATTTGACAGAGGATACTGCCACCTATAGGTAATCTACGAAAATTACAGGAAACATTAAAGAACAAACCAGCTTCTATACAGTCTTTGTTTTTTTCTCTCCTGTCTTTCTTTTCTTTTTTCTGCATCTATGCAGTAGCGTGCAGATATCATAACGGCTGTGTTTAATATATGTGTTCATACCCATGCACATTTAAATTTGAACATAGATGTAGTATCTGACCACCTGGGAGAACATCAATGATACATTTCATCAATTACATTCCGTCATTTAATTAAGTGAACAGCTAAATGATACACTGGATCTTGATAAATGAAATATTCAAAATGGAAATATTTACGTATGTAATGTAATTTAGTGAGAAATAAAGAAGAAAGATAAAGTGAAATAAATGCAATCTTAGTTTTAATATTTGTTCAAACATGAGGATAAGCAGTGGATGGGTGAATAGACACATTTAAAATATTTAAAAACAATTATTTTGACCTCACTAAAAATTATTTTAAAAAAAAGCAAAAGCAGGTTCATTTGGCTAAATGACATATTTATAATAATACAATTCATAATAAGTTAAACTAATGATTAAAATAATGATTAAAATAATGAAATAAAATAACTCAAAAATATATACTCCTCTGTACTGTTTCAGTATTATTATAAAAATAACCTTGTATAAAAAAACATATTATATAAGGTTATTTTTCTAGCTTTCTGAATTGTATTTACTTCATTTTGTAAACGAGTAATTCTGTATTTCTATTTGCAGAGTAAAACTAAATTGGAGTTTGTTTCCTAAGACCTATTTACTCATAGTCTTCTTTCAACTTTGAAATTCTTGATGGTCATGACCCAAGAACATACATTTCTTTTGTACCATGACTGAGACTCATTCTTAGAATGGTTCAGGTGTTATTGAAGGGCAAGATCAGAGGGGCTAAGGACAATTACAGGAGAAAGCTGGAGTGGAAACTCCAGCTTGGTGTGGAGTGGCATGAAGACAATCGCTGGATTCAGTCCATTCAACAGCAGAGGAGCTGGGAGCAGTGAGGACAGAGCCAATGAGTTGAATGTGTTTTTCAGCAGATTTGACACTGCAGTGAATGCTTTCCCCCCTAGTGACTTACCTGTAGTCAGCCTGCAATCCACAGTCACGCCACTCTCTCCAAACTCCTGTCGAAGTCCTGACACCCCTTCCCCCCTTTGTCACTTTCACTCATGACCAGGTTCAGGGACAAATGAGAAGACTCCACTCAGGCAAGTTAGCTGGTCCAGACAGGGTGTGGCCCTATGTCCTCATGGCCTGTGCCCCCAGGTTTGCGGAGTCTTTTATAAACTGTTCATGACAAATCAAAGTCTTTGGAGGGTCCCAGTGGTGTGGACGATGTCATGTCTCATTCCTGTACCAAAGACACCATGTCCCAATGGTTCCCAAGGTTACAGGCCTGTGGCACTGACCTTCCATGTCATGAAAACCCTGGAAAGACTCATCCTTTCCCGTCCCCAACCTATTGTCAGGCCACGTCAGGATACTTTTCAGTTCTCATACCAGCCTCGCCTCAGAGCTGAGGATGCCATCATCTACCAGCTCAGTTCTGTCTATGCACATCTGGACCAGCCGGCAAGCACTATAGCCCCTTTTCCATTAGTACCTATACTCAATTGACTCAGCATGGTTTTCAGGGTTTTCCATTAGGTCATAGTACCTGGTACCAGGTACTTTTTTAGTACCTGCTTGCCTGAGTTTCAAAGCAATCCGAGCAGGTACTGAAATGTGACATCGTCAGACTGCGTGCCACCGATTGGCTGTTCAGTAGCATCTCTCAATGAGTCATGGGGTCATAAGGTCAATGCTGGACAGTACCTCCCACCCACTCCATGACGTGCTGGCCAATCACAGAAGTCCGTTCAGTGAGAGATGGAGAATACCCAAATCCACAACTGAACCACACAGGAAATCAGTGCTGCCTGATGTGGCTATATCCCGGTACAACTCCTCTGTCTAATGCATAATACACAGTGCAATAGTCACACCGTTTTGCACATGTACAGTGAAAATGAGAAATAACAAATGATAAAGTTTTACAGTATACAGTTTAGAGTAAAATGTCCATCATATATTTATCTTTTTTTGTAACTTTATTATACTGTTTTATTTAATTTAATCAGTTACTGTACTGTCTTGGAGCAGCTGCAACCACATCATTTCCTAAGGGATTCATAAAGTATTCCGATTCCAATTTTTACAGCTGCAGTCTATGATACCAAGTGGCTCATCCCCAGATGTTAATGTGAGTAAATTCTGCCTCACAGTGACCATGCCTTGAAATTACAGCCAAATAAAGGATAGGAGGCTCTACCAAAGCCATTCATCATCCCAGTTCCAGCTTCTGCTGTCATAGTGATAAGTTATGTAAAATATGCAATCACCAAATATTTAGCTAATGTTAAAGCTGTGTAGATGGTGATAATATTTTCAACTCCTAAGAAAAGAGACAATTTAAATAAATACATCTAAAAAATGAAAAAATAAACACAAAACTCGTATCGTGTTGATGAGAAAAAAAACACAATTATGTGTGCGATTATGTGTTCCACTCCAAACTCACTTCTACTAAACAATTTTTAAAGAATCACGGTGCCTTTTTTTAAATAGTTTTTGGCACTAGGATGTCAGCTTGTGCATACTTAATGTAGGTTTTTCTTTCAAGAGCAAGTTTGCTGTGTCCACAGGGAGCAGACGGTCAGAAGTTGAATTCATGTGTCCTTAGGCACGTCTAATTAACAAATAATGATTAAGCTGCTCCAAACACAGAAAACGAGTTTGTTCCTTAAAATAATTACCAGAGCAAGGCCTATTATCACTTTAAAAAGTTATTTTTTAAGTAATAATAAAGAAAGCTGTTAACAAAAC